CATCCATCCATCCATCCATCCATCCATCCATCCATCCCTCATCCATCATCCATCCATCCCTCATCCATCATCCATTCATCCACCTATCTGTCCATCCAGTCATCATTCATCCATCATCTATCCATCCACCACTCATCTATCATCCATCCATCTATCATCCATCTCACTGCCCACACCCTTTTATCCATATCTATCCACACATCCATCCACCCATTCATCTACCCATCCATCTATGCATCCTCCTGTCCATCCACCCATGACCCGTCCATCCACCCATCCCTCCTCCTACCCACCCACCCACCTACAGATGCCTTCCTTCCCTTTTCCTTTCCTCCCTCCTTCCTTGCTTCCCTCCTCCCTCCTTCTTCCTTCCTTCCTGCATGCATGCATTTATTCTCAATGCAGTCACTATATGCCTCCTATATTCCAGGAACTGTTCTAAATCAAGGCACACAGGGCTAATGAGGAGACAAGATCCTTGCCCCTAGATCTCTCACATTCTATTTGGGAAGGACAGAGACTGAACAAGTAAACAAATATGTGCACATGATAATTTTAGATGCTCCTGAAGGTAAAGAAGAGAGTAAGTCTGGGGTATGTGACAGAGAGGCTGAGAAAGGCTAATTTCAGACATCTGAGTTGACTAAGTGAGACCCAGACACCTGAAAGATATTCTAGGGAGAAGGAAGAGCAAGTGAAAAGCCCTCCGGTCAGAATGAGTCTGGGGGTCTGAGAGGGGCTGGGGCCAGGGCCGAGAGAGCACAGGGGTGAGAGCAGGGTGGCTGGCTGGTGTAGGTCAGTGGGAACTACAGGAGAGGTCTGGCTTCCTCCAAGTGGTGCAGGCGAGGGGTTGGGCATGCATTTCCGCTCTTCTGGCTGCTAAGTGGAGAACTGACTCGTAAGGTTGGGGGGGATGCACCGGCTGTCTTTTAGGGGACACAGGTGTTAGCTTAGGCCAAGGTGGCATCAGAGTATATCTGCTCGGGTTACTTTCGGGAGACTGAAACCCAGAGCCTGCCTGGGGCCACTGATTTGTTGGGCTCTATGGGTGAACCTGGGATTCCATAACTCCCTTCTCAATAGCTCAGGCTACCTGAATCCCCCTTCTGCTTAGAGTCTCCTCCTCTTTGGAGGGAATCATCTCAGTCCCCCCTTCCTTGCTATTCCTTGACGGGGTACCACTGAGTTGACCCAGGTCCAGCTTTGCCGGTTTTGTGCTGTGTGGCACTGAGCAAGTGCCTGCCCCTCTCTGAGCTTTGGTTTCCAAAAGAGAAGGAGCAGAACTGGATGCTCCCCTGAGGGAGGCCCTCCCAGCGTGGGTGTGCTGAGGGTCTTGCTTCGGCAGCCTTGCCAGAACCCTGCCAGGGCGTATTCTGGGCTTGGAGACATCAACTGAAGCACAGACACTGGTTTCTAAGCAGACTGAGGGCTGCTTCCTGTGAGACCTCGAACAAGGGACGTCCCTGCCTTCAGCTGGGCTGTGCGGCTGTAAAACGGGGTGCTCACTTGGCCCTAAATTTAAGCAGTTGGAGAAGTCACCAGTCCGAGAGTGTGGAGTGACTGGCCCGGGAAGGGAGGTGCCCGCCAGCCCTCGGCGGGGGCCAGCCCCCCGGGCCTGTCAGGAACCCACGGAGAGACCAACTGCCCATGAAGCTCCGTGGGCGCCGACGTACCTCCAAGGCTTCGTAGTACATGTCTTTAGCCTCCATATCTGTCTTGGCCGACATCAGCCAGGATTTGATCAGATATTCATAAAAACTGTCCCCGAGGCCTCCAATTGAGACGTGGTCTGTGTGGAGAAAGAGGACAGGGGAGTTACCTCCCTGTGATGGGCCTACGGGGACAAGGGCTCCCCGGCACACTGATCCAGGGGCGTCCGTGCGGCGGGCGGCCAGGGAGTGGGCACTTGTCCAGCAGCGTCCCCACCCTCACAGGGGGGCCTTGAGCTCAGTGGCCTGTGCTCTGCTGTCCTGGCGCCATAAATCGCACGGCTTCTGCAGGCTGAGGATGGCAGAGCCGCTGGTTATTAACAGTAAATGAGTTGCATTTCTTTAAAAAGATAATCTGGTGGCAGGGGGTTCAGAGATTTTTATTACCCGGCGACAAACGTGGTAATTAATGCTGGGCAGGTTCATAAAAGGCCACAGAGAGGAGGAAGGAGAGGCTCAAATCAATCGTCAGAGCCCGGAGTCGCTCGGAAAACTGAGTATAAATTTAGCAAATTGGACTAAATGGAGCTCAGAGAAGCAGGGGGGAAGCGCCTTTGAAGGCCCCTTTTCTGCCCTCTGTCCCCCCACAGGGCCGGGCCTCAGGCTGGGCTGGCTGAGGAGAGTCTCTGGCCACGGCTGGCCTGGGAGCAAGGGGGTCTCGGAGGGGCGCTTACCCTCAGAAGCCAGACGTGGAAAACACTTCCTCACATGCTTTAAAAATTAACAACAAGGAACACAAAGGCATTCGGAAGATATAACAAAGCGCGAATTTCAGCTCTGGGTTATGATTCATTTAGGAACAGAGACGGAGAGGGAGGCGGGAGGAGGCAGGGCCTGGAGCTGCCCTTCTGCAGAAAGCGGAGAGAGGGAAAGTGGCTGAGGAGCGAGGGGTATGTCAGTGGTTATCATTTGTCCAGCTCTACTGGGCTACGAGCCCTCTACGGTCAGCGTGGCCAACCCACTTCCTGATGGGGAAACAGCGAGTCCATGGAGCTGGCTGAGTCCTCACTGTGTGAGGCTTCACACGTCACCCAGGGGGAAGGCAAAGAGGACAGGGGAAGGCAGGAGTGTGAAGAGTCAGAGTAGAGACACAGGGGTCTGGGGAGCGGGCGAGAGGAGACTGTGGCAAACTGGCAGCCCGGCTCTGCCAGGCCCCTCTAAACAAATCCTGGCCCGGCAGGGGTGGGGAGAGAGAGCAGCGCCTTGGGCAGAGGCAGAGGGTCAGTGGGGCCGGGCCAGGCTGCATGAAGAGGGGGGGCCCGCGTACCCCAGCCTCCTCCTCTCAGGTGGGGGCACAGTTTGGTGAGCAAGGAGGGAGGGGTGGAGGGTGCCAGACCCAGCACATCTAGGGCGTGTCCATGCTGGTGCAGGGGTGAGGGCGCAGGGATGTGCTTGCTCACAGCGGGGGTGGGGGGGAAGCTGAGGGGCAGTCTGGGGCACGGAACGTCCTCCCACAGCTCAGGGCCCAGGCGGCCCCGAGGCCCACAGCTGGACACTGTCCCCGCTACCCTCTTGTCCTGCCCTGGCTAGGCCTCCTCACTGGCCCCTCGCTTTGCAACCGCGTCCGTGGTCCGGTCCAGGGCGTCCCTTGGCAGGTGAGTGCAAGAAAGGGGAAACAGGTCACCAGGAATCCCACGAGGGCTCGAGCACGAGGCCCTCTTGGGGGAATGTCTAGTCCTCGGAGCCTCAATTAAAGCGGGTGATTCTCACTTGAGGTCCCCCGACTTCATAGCATGTGTGTGTGTACCCCCACACCAGGGGGGCGTGGGAGTCAGAGGGGTGGCCCAGTAGCTGGCTCTCGGCCCCTCTGGGCCTGTCTCCTGCTCGTCACCTGCACAGAGGGTGCACACGCTGGGCAGCTGAGAGCAGCAGTGGGCCCACCGCTTCCTGCCGGTCCCGTCTCAGCCCCCTCGGGAGGCAGCGAGCGGCCCACCAGCTGCGCACTGCCCGCGGAGTAGGGCGGACCCAAGAGGCTGCCAGCCGGCTACGCTGCTGGCCATTCCACACCCACTGGGAGAATCTGGCCTTGCCATGTCCCTCCTGGCGAGGAGCGTGGGATTCAGGCCGTGGGCTCAGAGGATGAGCCACCCGAAGGCTGGCCGCTCCCCGCGCTCAGGCCACCCTGCCGGGTCCCTGTCGTCTGCGCCTGCAGACTTGTCCTGGGAGCGGCCAGGGGCAGGAGGGCCCTGGCCTCCCTCCACCGGAGCCCTGAGCTCGGTGACTGGGCCGCAGCCCAACTCACCCCCCTTTCTAAGCTGCAGCGTCTGAGGTTGCAGATGGGTTAAACAGAAAATAATGTGAAGACACAGCTTATGCAAGTTGGTAATGTTGTCGTCTGCTGGAGAAAGACACAGTCTCCAAGAATCCCCAGAGAAAACCTGAGCTGACCCTGGCACCAAAGCCGGGGTGGGGGGGCTGTGTGGGGGCCGCAGGGGGGAGGCGGGTGGCGCCCAGACGAGCAGGGCTTTGAAACCTTCCTCCCCTCGGCCTCCTGTTTTATGAATATGTGTGCTGCCCTTTGCCCAGACCACGGCCGGTACAGCCTGAGAAGAGAATGGTGCTTCCCGGTGGGGGCTCCCCTGTATTTGCCAAGCGCCAGGCTGGGGACCACACCTCCCTTCCTTACTGTCCTGGAGCAGCAGCAGAGCGTCCATCTCTACCCGGTCAGCCCGGCCATTAAGCGCAGGACAGTCACCACTGTCTCTTCCTGTGGCCGCAATCTATAATTCAAGACTTCATTTTCTCCCCGCACTTTTGGATTTGGCTAAAAATACTTTGCCTTTCTATAGGTGGTTTTTGCAGGTTGCTTGGGAGTGAGGTCAGCGCTGGGGAAAGTTCCTGGGCGTCCTGGGCCTGTGGCTCCTGTGGCTCGGGGTGGGAAGGCCAGGCCTGCCTCTCCGCAGCATTCTGCCTCAGAGGGCGAGGTGGGGTGTGGACGAGGCCGGGGTGACCATCAACATCTGCTTGAGGACAAGCCTCTGAACAACAGCGGGTCACCTAGGGCTATCCTCCCAGGCGTCAGATACAGCGGGAAGTGGGATTTCTATGCTGTGCCCTTAGGCTGTTAAAGTTGGAAAGAAGTTGGAGGTGGGAACTATGAAAGGGGCTGGGAGGGGAGACGCAGCCTTTCCTGAGGGCTCCGGGTCAACAGAGCTACCTGAAACACTCCTGCCTGCCTGCCAGGCAGGGCTGTGCCCGGGGCCCTGGAGGCAGCCCCAGCCCCAGCCCCGGCAGGCACAGCAGAATGAGCAGAATGAGCATGCCCGCAGTGCCTGCCCGGTGGCGCCCCCAGGGGCACCAAGCGGAGCCCACGGAGGCTCTGATGAAGTCACTCGCCCCTGGCTGGCGCGGGGGTGGGGGGGCGGGCGCGCAGGGGCGTCTCTGAACTCACGCTGCATCCAGTTCCCGCTCACAGGGCTGAGGAAGTTGGGGTAGAGGCCGAAGGGCTTATCGATCTTCCTGAGGACCTTTCGGATGTTCCTGACCTGGCAAGAGACGGACAGCAGGGCCACTTCAGTTTCTTGGGGAAGCCAGCGGCTCCCGCCCAGCCCACGGGGGACGGAGAGAACATTCCAGTGTGGAGGGAGGGGGCCACGGCCCAGCACCAGCAGGTCCCAGCCGGAGGCGGCTGTGCCCCCCTGCACCCTACAGGGCTGGCCTGACTCCCCACCTCGGCCCTGCCCACCCTCACCCCACCCTTTCTCGCTGCAGGGCGCTCTTGAGGGTGGGTCTTTGCAGGAGGGGCTTCATATACTCTCTACCTCTGCCACTGCCTTTTTACTAGATGAGAAGTGGAACACTGGCACTTCCAGGGTTCAACCTGGCATGTTTGATCGGATGTGCAGAACATTCCAGAGGCGGGGCCTGGGCTCCGCAGACCGCTGCCCTAACAGGCACCGCAGGAGACTAGTAATACTCCTGCCACGCAGCTACTGACATCTCTGGTTCCTGAGCCAGCCCAGGACATACAGTCTCTTGAATTCTCCTAACATTTTACATGGGGCCATTTTTAGATCGACAGAAGAGAAGTCCACGTGGCAGAGAGGTGGGGTGACCTGCCGTGGTCACTCAGTGGGTAAGTGGCAGGGCAGACCTCAAGTCAGGACTGGGCAGACCTCATGCTGCAGCCCCAGGGCCCGACCTGCATCTCCGGCAGTGGGGAGAGCAGAGGCCGCCCCAAAGCCGCTGGATTTGCAACCCCGGGGCTTCAGAGGGTGAGAAGCGGATTAAGGAAACCCTGCTCACAGTCCAGGAAATCCTCCAACCGCTGAGTCCTGGGGCAAGAAAGGCCCCCAGGGACAGTGCGCAACGCTCAGAGATTTATCTGCGTGGGAAGGGCAGAAAGTGCCTGGTCGCTGCAAGCCTCCTTTCGGGGACAGCACTTGGCTTGCACATCAGATTTCATATCCATTTATGTTAACGGAGTCCATTATGGGGGACAGGAATGTGCTTGTACCTGAGTTATTCTCCGCTGTCCTGGTGGTGAGCAGTGAAGCGGGCTAAATTAGCTCCCCTGGAGGGTGCGGGCGCTTCTAGAATTTGGGCCAATTTGTTGACTGCCAATAATCGCCTCTGCAGGAGGCATGATTGGGGCATGAAAATAGCTGGAGAATGTAAATGCGGAGTGAGACAGAGAGACCGATGGACTCCGGAGAAAGTGTGAAGCCTGCTGTTCACGCTGGCTTTGCAGGAGCCTGGCTTTCGGACCCGAAGACCTGGGCTCACTGACCAGCTGATGGTCCAGGGCCAGTGTTAGCCTCTCTAGATCTTAGTTTCCTCTGTAAGGTGGGAGTATCAGGAAGACCGACCTCTGAGGGTTGTTGAGTGTGCAGCCGGCACAGTATTAGGTCCTCAGGCCGTGGGAGAGCAGCCTGCACAGGAGGCGCCCAGGCCGTGGGAGAGCAGCCAGAGCACAGGAGACCCTCAGGCAATGGGAGTCAGCGGGTCCAGACTAGCCTGGAGCCTAATGTGAACTCTGTCCAGTGAGACAAAGGCAGTTTTACCTGGCCGTCCTGGGCCAGCCACAGTCTTCTAGAGAAGTTTGTGTGAGGAGCAATGGAGTCGGGGAGACTGGGGTGGAGGTGGGGTGAGGCAGGCAGCGCCCTCTCAGTGCAAGGCAGCAGCTTCTGAGGCCACATGGGCAGGCTGCATAAGGGTGGCTGTGAGCCGCGGGCACAGGGAGTGGTCAGGGAGAGAAGCGCTACGTGAGCTGCCTTAGGACACGGGGCGCGTCCCCACACTGAGGAGGCCGTGGTCCTGAGCGGGGCAGCAGCAAGCACGGGCTTATTGAAAATGCAGGTTCCTGGGCCTGGAGTGACACGCAGAGATCTGTGTCCTCACAGGTTGCCATGTGATGCTTCGAGGCTGGGGGCTGACCCGAGACCGGGAGCCACTGGGGATCCATGCTCGCCAGTCTGACAGTAGACATCCTTGGGGAGACCTGGGGACGGGGGGGGGAGGCTTTGGGAGTGGGGGCCTCAACGGGGCCTTGGTGGAGGGTCTCAGAGCGCAGACCTGCATCTCCCGCGGCTGACCGGTGGCTGATGGAGTGTGTCCACCCTCCTTCCTCGGGCTCCACCTACACAGACACTTCCAGACAGTGTGGCCCGGGGCCCGTATCATGGAGGAGCCCCTCTTGCTGTGGGCAGCGGCCGACAGCTGTTGCGATGGACCGTGGCCTGGACGCCATAGCTCCCCACCCCGCAGGGCCTTAGCCAGCTGGGGGAGTAGACGGGAGCCCCACCCCCCGTTCCCCCCCCTGCCCCCCGGCCAGTGGGCTGGCTTTGCCAAGGGCCACCTGGAGAAGAACGGCCGGCAGATACCCCCGGGAAAGTTAAATGCCTCTGGAAAGGGGACTTCGGCACCGAGTGGCCGATCCTTGCTGGGCGGACGGGGCCCCAGGTCTCAGCTGCCCTTTCTCCGGGCCTTACACGTGCGGCGCCTCTGGCTGGTGTGGCCTGGTGGGGTCTTCCCTGCGGCAGCTCCGCCTCATGCCTACCTCTGCTGGCCCTCACCACCCCTGGCATGCACCTTCCTGCCCCTGGCACAGGCTGCTGGCGGCCAACCACCAGTGGCTATTTGCGCTACCCGCAGGGTCTCCAAGCCTCCTGAGTGCCCGCCCGCCCTCCTGTTGGGCCGGCTGGGTGCTCCCCCTTCTGTGGGCAGGAGAGAGAGGAGCTGCTTTGGGAGGGGCAGGGGGAAGACTTGCCTTGTCAGCGAAGACCTGGTTGCCAGAGAGCTCGGTGAGGTGTAAGAACTCCAGGTGCAGGGACCCAAACTCTGCCAGGATGCTGCTGCTCCCAGCCATGGCCCAGCCCCAGCTGCGGTTGGAGCCGCTGCAAAGACACAAACAGCCGCTCACTCCTGCTGGCAGGCATGCCCCCGCCACTGGTCCCAGGGTCTGCGGGATCAGAGCCCCCTTCTGGATGGGGTCGGGGTCAGGGAGAGGCGCTGGCCGGCTGCAGGTCGCTGAAGCCTGCCTGACTTGCAGCTGATTCTGCTTCGATCACCGAGCAGCTCCTGTGCAACCGCAGCCCTGAGCTGGCCCGTGTGCTGCACTGAATTCACAGGTGGCACCGATCCCGCTGCCTGGCCCACAAGGCTCCACAGAATCTATTTCCACCCACAGATCGCTCACGATCAATGGTGCTGTGTGTGGAGGTGAACCTGAGCTGTGGGGTTCTCCCTGGGGACAGGTGGAAGGTAGCCCCCAGCCCTTGCTCTCGCCCCACACTGCCACGGATGCCCAAGGACACACAGTGTCCCCCGCCTGGAACTTCCTGGACCCACTGCTGGCCTGCCGCCACCCTGAGCCCTGGAGCCTGGGAAGCACAGACACAGGAGTAAAAGCAGCAGGTCACCTGTTAACTCGTGAACACGAAGGGGAAGTCACGCTAGAGACACCAGTGGGCAGGTCCGCCGGCTGGCCGGAGGAGGCCGCCAGCAGCCACTCCCGTGTGCTGGCGCTTCTGACTGCGCAGAAGCAGGCTACTCCTGCCGTGCACCTGCTCATGGGGCAGGAGACAAGTCCCAGGTGGCGACCCGCCCCCGCCCCAAGGTCACACAGGGAGGGGCCCGCTGGGCCCCAGGCGGGTCTGCGCAGGGCTTGTCCAGCCACGTGCACCTGCCTCTTTCCATTATACCGTGCAAGGTCGCAGCCTGCCCAGGCTGCACAGGAAATCTCCCTGGATTTGGGCCGGAGGCGCAGGGTCACGCTCGTCAGTGGGGCGGCTGTGGCAAGACACCTCCTCCTCGTGCAGCTCAGTGCCTGCACCCATCAAAGGCATAAGGATAACACCCCGGTCTCCAGCGAGGGGGCTGCCTGGGCAGGCGCCCCTCTCCCCGTGCTTCAGCTGCCTCCGAGGTGGCAAGAGCACCCTGAGGATAACCAGGAGGCCAGGGGCCACCCTCCCTTTGCAGGAGGTTGTGGGGTAGGGGAAGCCCCTCCCCCCGGGGTTCTGAGTTCAGTTAGCACTGAGGGCACTGGCCTTTCAGAGGGGCACCCCTCTGCTTTCTTTCTTGTGCTGACAAATCCGGGTCCCCAGGGAGCGTCTCTGTCCTGCTGTCTCCCAGGGATGAGACCTCGGGTGGCAGGCATGGGGGAGAGGCCACGGTGGGCCCCCGAGGGGCACAGCCTTTTCGGGGGTAGGGCTCAGGCTTCCTCAAAGCTGCCCTTCTCTAAACCCCATTCTTGGGTCTGGCTCTGGTTTCTGGGAAAGACTCGTTAGTCTCTCAGCGTCCAGAGACAGAGGAAAGACTCGAGTTTTGGGGTCTTTGGGGCAGAGGGCATCATCAATAGCCAGAGAGATGACCACTGGCCCTTTCTTCCTGTCTCAGCCTTAGGCATCGGCCTCCTTGGGAACAGGGGGCGGCACAGAGGGGAAACAGCTCCTGGACAAGAAATAAAACAGCCTCTGCTCGCTGAGCCGCTCCAGTACACCAGCACTGGGCACACGGCTTGAATCATTATTTTATTTAAAGGATCATTAATCCCAATATACAAAGGAGGTAACTGAGGACCAGAGAGTGAAGCAAGCTGTTGCTTCGCCAGCCTGGGAGGGGTGAGATCTGCAGGCTCAGAGGCCACTCCCTTGGGGGTCTCCCCTCAGCGGCCCAGCGTGCAGCAGGAGGGGAGGGGAGCTGTCCCTCTCTGTCCCTTCTCCCCCGAGGCCAAGAGAACTTCTCTCCAGCTTGTGATCCCAGTGGGAGCCAACAGTACCCACTGAATAATTGATGCTTTCTGCCCTCACAGCGAAATTCAAAGAAAAAAAGCCACCTGTCACCCAGCTGTCTTTTGTTCTCGCTCTCTCTTCACGAACTGCTCCTCTCTCCCCTAATGCTCACCCTCCCAGGTGGGAGCGGTCCTGGGCAGAGGCGGGGGCTGGCTGGGCGCCTTCCTGCCTTCCTCCTGCTTCCAGTGCTGGCTTCCCAGGCTCCCCGCTGGGAGCGAACTCTTCTTTCTAAAGATTGATTTATTTATGCACACAGGAATTGGGGTGTAGGACAGAGATGTGGGGTGAAAGGATTCACCAGAGACAGAGTGGGGAGCAGAACAGGCAGACGGACAGAAATACACTGCTGAGGGGAGCAGCTGGCCAGAGAGGAGAGGTCTGCCGTGCCGTGTGGGTCAGCTCCCTGGCCGGGGATCGAACTCTTGTTGCGGTAGCTGGTGGTGGTGTGATAGTGCTGTGTCTTTAACCCCTGTGCCACCAGGGAGGCCAGGGTTGGCTATTTTTTCTAGACCCCAGGTTCCTTATCCGTTAAATGAAGGTACCCATAACTGATGGTGTTATGGTGGGGTATAAATTGCAGATGTAATTACTGTCATTTCTATCACTGTGTAATTATGTACATGTAAATGATGTGTCTTTGTTAGAGTTATTAAGTTCCTCACATGTGCCAGGCAGCTGTGATATCTTATTTTACTGTCCCACGCAATGCCAGAGGTAGATGCTATGATCTTTATTTCCCAGCTCAGAATACACAAGTTTAGAGAGGGGGGAGACACTTTGCAAGGTCATTTGGTAAGTGATAGGGTGGGCAGCCCTGAATCCAGGCCCTAGGCCCTCTGGTCCCCAACGGCATCTGCTCCAGTGGCATCCAGAGGCCACAGCCCCACCCTGTGCGGCCCTGCACCGGCCAGTGGACACTGCCTCCCACGCCCCTCCCAGCCTCTCTGCATGGCCGCAGCCAGGGCTCCCCGGACCGGTGGGGCTGCTCCACGCTGTCCCTCCCCAGCGAGCCAGAAGCTTCTGTGCGAGTGTGTGCCGCTGCGTGTACTCCTGGGTGTGGAGTAATCATCCGGTGAGAGTCAGACACACCTGCGTGCTGATTTTTACTTCGCTGCTGTGTGACCTGGGGGAACTCACTTCACCTCTCTGAGCCTCACTTTCTTCGTGGGTAGAATGTGTCTTGTGAGGCTGAAGAGAGAGAGCCATGTCGAGTTCACGAGGTGCCTGCACACAGCAGAGGCTCAGGAGGCACCAGAGGCGATGAAGACGGTGCATGGTGTGTGGCAGGAGCGTCTGACCCCCTGGACTGGAGCAGAGCAGGACGAGGCCAGTCTGTGTGCGTCGGCAGCGGCAGCAGGACGCAGGCGATGGATTCAGGGGCTGCGGTCTCTGGCCACTGTCCTGTCCCAGGGTCCCTGTGGGTCACACTGCTGCCCCTGCTCCCCTCACAGTCTCTGCTGCACAGACACACCTCCCATCGGGGAGAGGCAGCGGCCTTCCCTCCCCGAAGGTCCTGGGGTGCAGCCTGGCTCCGGCTCTCCTGCTGGGCTCATCGGTGGCCCTGCCCCTCAGAGCAGCCCTCAGTGAGCTCTGCTTGGAGCAGGGAGGCAGAGTGGGCTGACTCTTCCCGCCTGGAGGTCCCCTCCAAACAGCGACTTCGGTACCCCCGGCCCCTGCCTCCCTGGCGTTCTCCCCTGGTGGAACAGGCAGGCGTTTTTAGCACTAGATTCTCTTACCCAGAAAATGAAAGGGTGGTGTTGCCAGGAAGTATGCATATGCACCCATATGTACACAGCCCTGGCAGCGTAGACCGGCCTAAAAATAAATGTGCTTTCTGAACCAGAAATGCCAGAGTCTATGTGGGGCTGGGGCTGGGCTCTGAGGGACACAGCCAGGTGATCAGCGGCTTGCAGGGTTTGGGCAGCTAGTGCCAGGCACAGAGGAGGAGGGACGCCTGGCTAAGGTCCAGTCTCAGGCCCTGGACAGTGCGGCCTGGGAAGCCTGGCCTGGGGGCGCCAGGCAGACAGCGTGTTTGCGTCTGCTCGTGACAGCTGGGTGTGCTTCTCCAGGAACAGAGTTGAGAAGGAATCCGAGCAGAGAGCAGAGGGCCGGCTCTAAGCAGCAACTCCAGCACGCAGCACAGCACTCCCTGGCCTGAGAGTCCAGGGCGCTCACACCCAGGAATGCTTTCTGAGCGCCAAGGACACTGTCAAGATGTCAGGGAGGACCAACTGACCATCTCTTCTTCCTCGCCAGGCCCAAGGAGGGGTGGAGAAGCAAGCAGGGCTGACAGAGGAATGGGGCCTTCCAGGACAGCGGGGGGCGCAGGCTCTGCTTCCCTCTCCCCCAGAATCTTTCCTTCCCAGGCAGTGACTGACGCTACTGTGGATTGAGAGCCCCGAAAAATGTCATCACTTGAGGAGACAGCTGGGGGCTGTCGGAGGGCCCCGGAGAGCCCAGGGGCCTGGGGACAGGGCACGTCCCCTGGAGGTCACGCTCGGGCAGCAGAGCTGTCGGCTAAGAGAGGCTGAGCTCCGTCAGTAACAAGCAGGGTTAAGCCTCAGCCTATGAACTGCAAAGCCGTGGGCAAGGCACTTCATCTCCTGGTCTTTTTGAGAATGCGGGGGGTCCCGTGAACGCCTGTGGGCCTAGGGTGGCTGTGAGGAGCGTGTCTGGTGAGGTGATGTCCAGCAACAGCACAGGCCCGCCGGCGTGATGCTCAGCCGTGCAGGGAACGGCGGTCGCGACTACTCATCTTCCCTCCAGCGCTCAGCGCCCAGCACAAGCATTTGTCAGAGAAACAGACTTGGAGCCCCGGATGCTGGGTGGGAACACGCTGAGGGTGACAAGGAGCCCCGGGAAGCAGACAAAGTGCCCGGAGGCCAGAAAGCCAAGACTCTTCCACCTGATGGGAAAAGTGGCATTTGAGCTGGGCTTTGAGGGACAGTGAAGCTGGGGGACACAGCCACCAGAGCAAGAGGGGCAAAGCAGTGGGGTTCCTATGGGGTGTGCAGGAGCAAGAATCATGGTGCTCAGCGGAGCTAAAGCTGGCCGGGCAGGCAGTTCTCTTGGGCTGGACTTCCCTCCTCGCCTGCCCCCCAGGGTCCTGTTGCCACCTCTGGAAAGTGAGTGGTGGGAAGACATTCCCACCCCCGGGGGGCGAGGCAGTCAGGCACATGTAAGGGTGCAGGTCAGTACCTCAAGGACTCTGGAGTTGGATCGAGCTGTACCCTTCTCAGGCATGTCAACCAAGGCCCCTTCCACAGTGGCATTCTGGGACTGAGTGACAGCCCAGAGACTGGTTTCCAGGCTGAACTGAGCTGAGAAATGATGGAAACTACCAGTGCAATTCAGGGTCTTAATGTTTCTCCAAAGAAGACGCACAGAGGGCCAGCAGGCACGTGGGAAATCATCACTTACCAGGGAAACGCAGGTCAAAACCACAAAGCAGGGGCCCTCCCTGGTGGCGCAGCGGGTTACAGCGCCGCATTATGAAGCTGCCCGCAGCCGCCGCAGCACGCGTTCGATCCCCCGCTGGGGAGCTGACCCACGTGGCGGCAGACCTCTCCTGCCCCACCTGCTGCTCCCCTCAGCAGTGTGTTTCAGTATATCTGCCTGTTCTGCTCCTCACTCTGTCTCAGTGACTCCTCTCACCCACCACACCTCTGTTCTGTACCCCAGTTCTGTACGAATAAATATTAAAAAAAAATTATAAAAACCACAAAGCAATCCTGCCTCCCCCACCACGCGAATGGCCCTTCTCAGAGGAGCATGAGCCGCAAGTGCTGGCAAGGATGTGCGTCATGGTGGGCATGGAGACGGGCCCCGGCCCTCCCGAAAGCAGTATGGAAGTTTCTCGAAATATCAAAAATGGATCTACCACATATTCTAGCAATCCCAACCCTAGGTTTCTACCCGAAGAATGCGGATAACTGTACTGTGTTCACAGCAGCGCTGCTTACAACAGCCAAGGTATGTCAACACCCCAAGTGCCCAAGGGCAGACGGGTGGGTTGAGACAACGAGGGTGTACACCACGGAATACTACGCAGCTATAAACAAAACCCGGCGAACGCTTGTCGGGGACAACACGGCGGGACTGGAGGGGATTAGGCTAAGCCAAATAAGTCAGGAGGAGAAGGGCAAACACTGGGGGTTTCACTCAGCTGTGGGACACAGGGAAACAAAACAAAGGGTCCGACAAAAACCAACCAGCCCAGAAATTTTACTCTAAAATGGAAAATATTGGAGGGATGGGGGAAGGTGGAGAGCAGAGTGGGGAGGGGCCGAATGACTGCGGAGGAGGACTGTGGGTGCCTTGGTAGGGTGGGGTGGGCGGTGCCACGCCTCTGAAGGGTGAGTCTCTACCTCGCAATCATGTAAGTGCCACAAGCAGATGTCGCCTCAATAACACACACACGCATTTATAAACGACGACAAAGCCTGATAAATATTACCAGCGGTTTATCTATTGGAACCACATAGTATTTATCTATTGGAACCACATCATATTTTCAGTCTTATCCAACGTTTTGAATGTATTTCACTTTTACTGCAATAAAAGTGACTTTTATGGAGGGGAGTCCAGTAAATGTTATCATTACAAACGGAGCCAGAGCCTCGTGGCTCCATGTCCCCAGAAGCTCCCCCGTATTCTGACACTGGGCTCCTGAGCCCTGCCGGGGGTCTGCAAGCGGGGTCCGCGGACTGGGGTCCGGAGGCCTGGCAGCTCTGGGTGGCTGGTCGTGAGAAGAGGGTGCACTGTGCCCACCGGCTCCCGGCCGTGGGGTGGGCGCGGGCAGGCGCATGGGACGGTCACGGGGGCAGAGCTGCGTGTCCATAGCCGAGGTCCAGGTCCGGCCACGGACGCCAGCTCAGACAGCCCTTGGCAAAGGCGCTTACTCCGCGCCACTGACTGGCTGTGACGCCCAGGGCGGGAACTGTCCTGGGCCTCAGTTTCCACACCGACGCAGGGAAGCTCAGTAGGGGAACCAGGAGGCGTCCTACCTTTTGAAGTTCACGATGCCTTTTGGGATCCCTGTGGGGGTGTTGAAGGCTGGCAGGAGTTTCTCCCCCAGCTTGATGGCCTTCACCCGGAACACCTGTAAGAAGGGTCACAGGGCACGTGAGCCTGGGGGGACGAGGCCGCCCAGGAGGCCGCCCTGGGGCCCGAACCCGCCGATGCAGTAGCTGGTGCGAGAGGGCCGGGGGCAGGACCCCGCTTGGCGCTGGGTCAGCCGGGCCTGGCTTGGGTGGCTTCCTCCAAGGAAGGCCCCTTGGCCGGGGGAGGCGCTCCCTCTGAACCCGCGTCCTTGTTTGCCTTCCTCAGCGCGTGCTGAGAAGTGCGACCAGGTAAAGCGTTCAGACAGCACCAGGCCTGTGATGCAGCCTCCACGGCCGTAATCACTGGCAGGGTAGCTGCTCGGAAGCTGGAGGAAGAGGCGGGTGAGCCGCGGTCACCACTGGTCGGCGCCTGCCCACACTGCGAGGACGTCAGAGCGGAGCTTGCGGGGCGGCCGGGAGGCCAGAACCCGCTCCGTTCCAGGCCTGGACACAGCTTGGCTCCCCTGTGCCCCCGTGGCACCCTCTGCGTGAGGCCGCCACTTGCAGGCTCTCGCTCTGTGACTCGCTGACTGCCCACTGTGCCGGAGGAGGTGAGTGGAGAAGGCACGGGGCTCTCCCAGAGCCACCCACAGGGAGCAAGGGCGCCCTGAGGGGCCAGGCCGCGGGGCCCTGGGGGCTGGGAAGCCCGCAGCTGCTCTTCTGGTTAATTCACAAGGACTCGTGACCTCTGACTCAGCATTCCCACCCCCCACCCCCACCCCCGGAATTTATTCTGCGGAAATAAATAATCAAGGATGTTGTAAAGATTTAGCTTTATGGCCATTTATTTCAGCATTGATTTCAACAGTGGGAAAGATGGAAGCACTCCCACTCTCGGGCAACAGGGAGGTGGTTAGGGAAGGACGCTGGTCCAGGCAGCGGAAGACCACGCAGCCATGGAGATGACGCTGTTGGCCAACGCTGAGTGGCAACGGAGGGTCATGGCAAGAGTCACAGACGCAGGAGGGTGGGGAGGGGCCAACGGAGGCCCCGGGAGGGCCAGGCCCGTGGATGACTTTGATTTTCGTTCAGCTCATTGCTATTTTTATAAGAGCAAAACCACAACAGGCATCATTTATGCTTTAGAGGTGAGAACTCCACCCCTCTCATGGGTGCTCAATGGTGACCCAGTTTGCTGGCCTGTGTGTTTTTGCAAAACAGCCTTCTTGAGGCCTCCCCCACCCCAAGGCAGCTCCCACCCCAACCCAGTGGGGGAGGAGTTTTCCAATACTAACTACGTGGCCGAGGAGGGGCGGACGGGAGGCGGCTCACCAGAGGGGGGCCTGGGCGCGAGGAGATGCTGACCCCCGTGCCACACGGAGGGTCCCAGAAATGGGCGTGTGGCCAGCCGTATCAGATCCCTGGGGGTCCTGTCTGGATGCCAGATCCAGAACCTCGAATGACCCCAGGCGCCAGGTTTAGCGACAGTAGAGTGCTCACTTGACAAGGAGCGCCTCGCGGACGCCGGGGAAGCCGAGCAGCAGGCCCGAAGGAGCCTCGCGGGCACGCTGCTGGAGCGCCTGACCCGGCCGAGCCGGGCGTGTGGCCGTGCGGGCAGAGACCGCTCAGGAAGGCCCGCCTGGATCTCGGGGCCTGAGCCCCGGGGGCGTAGCTGTCGTCTCTGTTCCATCAATCCCAGGAACCAGCGGCCACTCAAGGAGCCCCTGGACAGTGCGTGGACCCTGCTGTTGCTATTAGGATGGTCAATGGAGGGAGCCAGCAGGGCTCATCTGGGCAGAGGAGCCAAAGTGTCAGACTTCGGGTGCACCGTGGAGGTGGGGGACGCGCGATGTTGGCCAGGCCCTGGAACCCCTGCTCCCGCGCTGGTCAGCAGGGGGCTCCAACTCACCTCTTCTCCCGTCAGGTAGTAGGCTGAGAGGAGGCCCCCGATGTAGCGGATGTTCACCTCAAACAGGGAGGCTTCTCCGCTCTGCAGGCAGAAAGGAGGAGGGGGCAGAGGGGACACGCGTGAGAGGGTCTCGGGGTGCCGGGCCCTGCAGACAGCTCGCACCTGTGCTGGGCGCCAGCAGCCGAGGCTGCCTCCTGGAGGTGTTCCGGCACAGGGGGGAGGGGCCAGTGCGGCCTCCTCTTCTCGGCCCCCCCACCCCCCAGCCTCCAAATAAGCGCTGGGTCTGGCTGCCTCCCAGGGCCTCGCCTGAGGCCACAGGGCAGAGCTCTGGCTGGCTGCTCATCAAGGGCTGGAGGCCTGCGTGGGCGGCTGCTGGCTGGAGCTACGCTGAGCAGAGGCAAACCCCTCCCCTCGCTCAGCCCCCTCATCTTTCAGAAGGAGCCGCCTGGCTTAGCTGCAAGATGGTGTGACAAGATGGCCCACCTTGGGGTGACAGCGCAATAAGCAGCAAGTTCTCCCAGGAGGGTCAGGGCAGGCTCGGAGAGAGACTCTGCCAGGGCGCGCCCCGCTTGCCTTGACCAGCGCTCTTTTCTTTTCTAAGTCAGACTTCAAATTAGGGGTGTTGAGGCAAGACGCCAACGCCAGATCAGCTTAAAATCCCATCTGAGCCATGCCCTGGGCTTTGGGGCTCCGGGCAAGAGGCGAGCCTTCCCCCGCCCGAGTCTCTCAGTCCCGCAGGTGGAGAAGAGAGCAGAGCCATGCGGGTGAGACATGGCCCCAGCCCGGCCCTCCTAGGGAGCCTGCTCTCCCCTCCCTGCCCCAGGGCCCTGCACACTCCCCACATCAGTCTCTTGCTCTTGGCAACAACCAGCGCCGTTCCTTTACCTGGCGCTTTTCCCCGTCGGAGCCTGCAAAGCCCTTTCTTTAAACCCCTCAGTGTTCCGTGAGGTCGCTACTCCCATTTTTCAGGTGAGAACCTGGAGGCACAGTGACGGGGAGAGACCCCACCTTGCTCCCTCCAGGGTCACTCCCATCCTCCCAGCCTGCCGAAATGTCTGCCGGCCCCCTGGCTCCCGGGTGGCTGCCAGGTTCTCGCTCATCTAGGTGGGCAGAAGGACGGACCCTCCGAGACATTCCTTCCTCCCCATCTCTGCCTTCCTCCCACCTGAGGAAACGGGAGGGTTCTGGACCCGGCCCCACAGGAAGCTGTCGCGGCCTCTCGGGAGGGGCTGGAGCCACCTGCCACCGCCCTGGGCTTTGCAGGGTCACACGAGCCTTTTGTAGGGTCACACGAGCCTGTTGCAGCCTCCACGCTGTTCGCCTCCGCCATAGCACGATCACTGTGCCGTGGGGTCCTTCCCAGCTTTCAGCTGGGGAAACTGAGGCTCAGGGAGGCCACTGAGTTTTCTCAGGCTGCCTGCCGAGCCAGGAACCCCTCCTGCCATGGCGCTTTCCCGACTCCCCTCGCTGGCTGGTGTCTCCAGGCAGCAGAGGCCCCCACTGGCCGTGAGCCGCAGGAGCTGTCCCCACTGATGCCCACACCTGCACCCCGGACGGCAGTGTTTGATGGGACCCTCCCCGCTCCCGCCCGGCTCATTTCTGGCATCCAGATCCACTAAGTGGCCTCACCCCAGGCAAGCTGAGCCCTTGGGAGGAATCGATTACTGTAGTCAGGGCTGGGTGGGGCCCAGCACTGAGGGGTTTTGTTCCATCCAGGCAGATGGCCAGGCTCCCCCACAGACCCCCCCCCCCCCCCCAAGGCCTTGGTCTCTGAGCAGGATGCTTGCAAGGCTGGAAACCAGGAGAGCAGTGGGCCTCTGGCCAGGCAGCACAGCCTCTCCCTGTCTCAAGCGGGCATGGTCTCAGGCTGGACCTCGCTCGTGGGCACCCTGGGGAGGGCACTGGGCACCCAGGTGTGCGGCTCCTGGGGCTGGGGCTGCTGTGTGGGCCCCACGTCTTGGCCCGAGACCACAGGGTGGGCAGGCTCTCCAGCCCCTCTGGCCCACCCCTGACGCCTCGACTCACCACGTTCAGGTGGAAGCTCTCTTCGACCCAGGCCTTGGCCTCCTGGAACTCCTCCTGCAGCTCCATGAGGTAGAGGGTGTCGAGGGAGTCGATGACCGTCGCCCCGCTGAGGCCCCCTGTGGGCACAGAGTCGGGGCGTGACCAGAGTCATCCTCACCTTTGTCCCCAGCCACATAAGCTGCTATTCCCCAGCCCCAGCACCCCCATGCCTGGGCAGGTTCCAAGGCCACGGCCAGTCCAAGTGCCATGTGGGGAGACCCCAGGGCCCCCCGCCTCGGCAGGGGAGCAGGAACCCACGGGCTTCCCACGGGCTGCTTGCTCCCCAGGGCTGCAAAGAGGGGGTGGCGGATGGAGACACCGACTTCCCAGACCTTGGCTCACTCAATGCCAACTGGGTACCCCCAGTTTTCTGTGATGTCGGGGGGGAACGAGCTGACAAATTTGGTCAAGAGACGCCTAACAGGTGTGTCTGCCCTCTGGTTCTTCTATGTGATTCCTTGTTTTATGCTTAAACAAAAAAAAAAAAAAAAAAAAAAAGGTATCCATAAATATTTATCTGAGAAGTACTAACTGAAGTGCCCTACATATGGGGGGCAGTTGGGGAAACACCCGGTCTAAAAATAGGAGACGAGTTCTATCAAGAGGCAGCAGCCCACAGGGGTGAGGGAGACCTCAACTTGTGTTTACAGGAGACTCGTCCCTGGATTTGGTCAGTTAAAAAAAAGTAGGTAGCAAAAAAAGTAAAAAATATATACAGTATAATTTCTTTACTGTGTGTGAACTGGGCCTGACCCTCAGGTAGGAGTCTGCAGGTACTTCCAAGTGCGGGGCACGATAGATGCTTTTTGATAGCTTCGGCTCATGGGTTATTTTTACAACCCGGCATCTATTTCCATTAAAAAAAAAAAGAAAGAAAAGAAATGTTGGATAAAGAGAGCAAACATATCACATCAAAAATGTGGACACTCTTGCTCTAGGAGATGGATACACAGAGCTGGAGCAATGAGGCCTGGCCCCTGCCACCCAGGCTGTAACTTCTGCCCCAGGACTAAGGCTGAGAAAATTGCAAAATGGGTTTTTCACAACACAAACCAGCCAGGAGAGGGATGAGGACAGACCTCCAGGCGCTGGCACAGCCAGAGTGTGGGATACAGGGGGCTGAAGGGGGGCGGGGAGACGGGATGTGTCTGGTGCGTCTGGAGGGCTTCCTGGAAGAGGAAGCTCCCTCCCATCAACGTGAGCCATTACAGGCAGCGGCAATTCCTTCAGGGACCAGAGAGTAGCTGAAGAGGAGTAATTGTTTCTTCCCGTCCTTGAAGAGGCTCAGACACTGAGAGTGGCAGGCTCTGCCTTCCCCAGCGGGAACTCTCAAGCTCGCTAACTGGCGTGGAGCCCCACTTGAAGCTGGGGCTTTGCGTGTGCCCCTGCTTCTGCTAATCTCCTTAATTAGGGCTCCCCTAGCTGCTCACTTGTGCTGGCTTTACAAGCAGAGAATCTTCTGGAACCGCCAACACTTACCCTCCTCTCCAGCGGGGGGCCTGGTCTGATAAAGGGCACAGCCTAGAGAGGGGGCAGGGAGGAGGCGGGAGGGGCTGAGTCTGAGGTGGACTCCATCTCCAGCAGGGAGGTGGAGAGGAGTGGGAGGAGGGGCGGCTGGGGAAGGGAGGCTTCCTAATCCAGAGCCCCTGTCTTGGGATGGGCTCAGCACTTGGGTTGCAGTGAATTTCCAGAATGTCAACCCCTCCTACAAGTAAGGATCTGTAGGAAAGCATGCTCAAAGCTAAACAAAGTTGATTCTTTCCCGCTTTATCCCACTGCTTCCCCTGTGGCGGTCAAAGGCTGGGCAGGCCTGGGACCACCTTCCCCTCACGAGGTCCCCAGGCGCGGGGTACCCATGCCTGGCACAGGTCCAGGCTGTGGGGCGCTGTCCTGTGGCCTCCGCACTCCTACCCCTTCCCCTTTCTGACACCAGAGGGCCTCAATCTGATTCGTAAGGGCATGGAGAGATTTTTGGGCCCAGAGAGAAGACTTGAAGAGAAGCCCAGCTCTGTGCTCAAGGCCAGGGAGAGATGCCGAGGGTATCTGATTTCAAATCCTGCGGTGAGGTAGCTGGCTTTTTCACCCCACGGGCCTCCTTCCCCGGCTCAGCCTGAGCAGAGGCCCCAGGCCCCGCCGTGCTGGGAGGGCGCCAGGGCTCCTCGTGACCAGCTCTCCTTCAAAAACACTCCTGAGCGGCTGAGGAGGCCGCGGCTGAGAGCGGCTTGCTGAGATTCCATGGCCAGATTCTTCCCCGCTCTCAGGTTCCCGAGTCCTTCTCTCTTCATCCCTCAGCTCCGCCTCCACCTCCACACAGCCAGGCTGCAGGCCAGCAAGGCACTTACCGGACAGCCTTTCATTCCAGGCCAGAGGTTACCTGGCGGCCAGGCGGGCAGGAAAGATCTCACTACCTGCACCGGCTAGGGCCTGGGGCCCCCCCAACGGGCGAGACACAAGCAGGCCCAGGATTTACAGGCCAAGAGCCAACTGGCACAAGTCAGCAGCCTGTGCTGACCTTTCACTGGGCTTGGAACTGGGGGAGCAGCAGGTTGGCCCACTCTCCCAGCTCCAGCTCTGCACCCCGCTGTTCACAAAGGACCTCTCTCTTCCCACGGGGGCAGGAGGCAGTGGGGTGGGTTAAAAGAGCACAGCCCTGGGCTCAAATCCCAGGGTGCCACAACGACACAGCTGCCCTGAGTCTCCAAGTTCTCCCCTGTAAAATGAGGCGAGGTCAGTGAGCGAGTCCTTGGGGCGCCGCTGCGGGTCTGAACCCCACGCCTGCTGAACGCACACTCCGTGCCGGGTGGAGAGCACGTTTGACGCATCAGCTCACTGTTCTTATTTCGGGGTCCCTAGCTCCCCCTGAAACATCGGCCCGGCCGAGGAGAGGTGGGCTCACATCCTGCTGCTGCCACGTGCGTGACTTTACCTCACTGGGCCTCGCGGTCTTCCCCTGCCACGTGGGCGGGCAGCAGGACTGGCCAACGGGCCGCTGGGAGGGAAGGGGGCGGGACACTGGGTATGTGGGAGTTTCCCCCGCTGGCCTGGGCAGCCGCTCCTCAGTCTTTGGGGCTCACTGGGGACAAGTGGTGCCCCCCAGGGACCAGCGCCCTCCTGCCCATGGGGGTGGAGTGGCTGTAACACCAGGCCTGGCAAAAGGCCTTGGCCCAGGTGAAGGGGAAAACGTCACGCAGGTCCCAGCCGCGCTGCTCAGGCCCGGCTGAGTCCGGGGCACATTTGTCTCCAAACGCCTCTTCTCCCCTCCAGAACCCTCCCCCCAATCCCATTCACCTGTACAGCCTCGCCTGACTGGTCTTCCTAGAACCAGACCCAGCTGTGTGCCCCCAGCTGGGAAGCCAGCAGGCAGCGAGGAAAGCCTTCTGTGCCTGAGTTGGAAGCTCCTGACTCCACACCCTTGCCTGAGTGGGCTCTACGCTTTGTGTCGGGGCACATCAAAGCCTCCCCTGCCCCCAGCCAACCTCCTGCCCCCAAAGCTCCCCCAGCACATCCGTGGGTCCTCAGGCACCCTGACTCTGCTCCGTGGGGCTTGTCTACCCCCCTAACTAGACTGAGGTCCTGGAGATCAAGGGTTCCCACTGCTTCTCTTGCACCCCTTCCCTACCTTGTCTCCAAGCAGCTCCGAAGTCCACAGTCCCCAACCTCTGGGGGCCACTCGCCAACCCTTGGGGCTTCCTCACCCTCCCTGACTTCTGTGACTCCTGTATAAACTGTTGGGAATGACTCTCCCTCACACCCTTATCCTGCGGGGCCCAGAGCCGCCCCCGCCCCCGCCCGCCTCTTGTCCATGCAGCTAACGAGATCTCCACCCCACGGCCTGCATGGCCTCACCTCGTCCGACTGCTAAGGACTCTGTCCTCACCCCAGACGCCCCTGCTCTGTGCTCCCCCATCTCCAGCACAAGGGCTCCCTGCTTGTCACGCCGTAAGAGAATCATCCGTGCACAAACGCAGGGCTGCCTCCAGCTCGGGAAGCAGCTGCCCAGGGCAGGGGCGCAGACGCCTTCGTCCATGTCCTCCCACGGCTGTGCTGCGCTTGTCTCCTTGCTGATCCCTCCTCACCTCAGACCTTCGAGACCCGGGCGCCGAGGGCTCCATCTTAGGGCCCTTTCTCCGTCCTCCTTCATTCCTTCGTGCTTCGGCTGGCCTCGCGGCATTAACTACCATCCCCGAGCTGATGATCCCTGCGCTCACTTCCAGCCAGACCTTGCCCCAAGCCGGACACAGGGCCAACAACTCCTGCTCTCGCTTCCCCTGGAGGAGGTCAGGCGCCGCATGTCTAACATGTCTGGAAGCAAGTTCTGTCTCCCCTCCGAGCCTGCGCCTCCCAGTGTCCTCCCAGGAACTGGCCCGAAACCCTGGACTCTGGTCCCAAAGCAAATCCTGGCGGCTCAGTCCTCACAAAATTTCCAGACTCTGAACACCTTTCACCTTCTTGATGCTCCCACTTCAGTCCAGCTCCCTTCTGTCTCCTGGGCTTATTTACTTATTTCTTACATTCAAAAAGAGCAGACTTACAGGAGGAGGAGAAAGAGCAAGAGAGACACCTGCACAGCCACAGGTGGGCCACAGAGCTGCCATTGCCATTTTGCAAAGGGAAAAGGTTTGTAAAGAGACACCTGCCTTGTCAAAGCTGGGCCGGAGAGCTGCGTTTTCTCTCCGGAATTTATCCTGAGAGTTGCGTCCTCTTTCCCACCCTTGCCAGCCAGACGCCCCTCCTCCCACCCGTCTGTCCCAGCCATGGCCGCCAGAGGAGCCTCTGAAAACGCAAGTCCCATCATCACCGAGGCGACCTTCCCACCAGACTGCAGCCAGAAAGGCCAGGGCAGCCAGGCGCCCGAGCCTCGCCCTGCCTGAAGCTGCTGTCCTGCGTGCCGGTCTCTGCTGGGCAGCGGACTGGTTCCTGTAACCTCCTCCCAGGTGCACGGCCAGGAGCCCACCCTCCCGCACCTCGGTTTAATCCACTCTCCTGTATTAATGACAATGAGGTTTTTATGTGACATTATATTAGCAAAGAGAAATGGGCCAGGCAGAGCAACATGAACTCCAGGAAGAACATTTAG